AAAAAAATCCAGCGGAGCCAGTATAGGCGCACGCAGTCCGGCAGGAGACCGCAGCGCGGCCGTGCCAGACGCGACGGCGGCAGCACAGCCGCGCCAGGCCGGGCCGCGGCTGCATCGGACAGACGTAAGGCCCCTTGGTCGCACGCGCTAGGGCCGCGGGCCGACGCCGAGGCGCGGGCGGCTGGGGGGAGGCAGGTGGGGCGGGTGCGTAGATGAAAAGGCCGCACGCTGCATGAGGTTAGGTAAAGAATTGGCCCCCCTGCCCGCAGCCTCGCACCTGAGCGAGTGGCACCATCAGGTCCCGAAACGCGGCGAGAGCACCCAGCCCCGTGCGCGCGCGCAGCGCCGCGCCCTCCGGGCTCTCCACGAGCGCGCGGGGCAGGGAGCCGCGGACCTCCCTGAAGGGCACATCTGGGCCCGCGATGGCGGCGGCGAGCTGCTCGTACTCGCCGTGCGCCGCGAGGGCCACGCGCAGGCCGGATTCGCGGAGCCCCGCGGCGAGGCGCGCCCACGGCTGCGGGGGTGTGGGTGGAGAGGGAGGAGGGGGCGTGGGGGAGGGGGAGGGCCGCGGCGCTGCGGGGGGGACAGGGTGTGATGAGTGCTAGGCAGCGGGGGTCGGAGCTTGCAGGTGCCCAACGCAGGCATGCATGTGCGCATGTGAGTGTTGCACGTGCCGCATGTGCTCAAAAGTACCTCGGTGTCGCCGCGTGAGCCGCAGCAGAGGATCAACACGTCCGCCATTGTAGGGAACCGGCGTAAGTTCCTGCGGGACGGGGTGTGTGTGTTAACAGTGTGCCGCCACGGTCAGCAGCTGCAATCGTGTCAGTCATCGCGGGCAGGCGCCATGCACATGATTGCTCAGCATTATTTGCGTGCCCGTTTTGCTTACAAGTATGCTCCCTGATAACGAGATCACGGACCACTCAATCACGCACCTGTATGTGTGAGCAAACTAATGGAAGATTCCACAAAAAAAATTGTGCAACGGACTCAACCTCGACAGCAGCCCAGCAGCTGCAGCAGACAAGCAGGCGGGCACACGGGTGCCACAGATGAGCAGCTGGGGACAAGGTGTTGCATACGAGGCAGTCCCAGCGGCGCAGCCAGTGCTGATCATCAAGCAATGCTGCTGATACGGCTGCCTTGCACCGACCACTGCGCGCTTTGCGCCGTACCATGCCGCCGTAGTGTCATTTGCGAAGCGTGAGAGTGCTGTGCAGCAGCTGTGGTAGTGACACCCAATAACACCCGTCACCCGCGCGCGGCCGCCGTTCGCCCGCCGGCGGCTACGACACACCTCTTGCGCTATGTTGTTGTCGAGTGCGTGGCAGCAGCCAGCTGCGTGTCCGCTGCCAGCAGCACGCACGTGCACCCCCTGCCAGCAGCTGTCGTGGCGCGCACGAAGAGCACGTGCACACGGGTTCCTTGTGTGAGGGGCTGCTCCAGGAGTGGGGCCGGGGAGCTCACCCCCGACCCCATGAGACATGCCCCTACGTCTCCCGCACCTGTCTGGCCTGGGTCGTCACGCCCCCGCTCTGCACCTCACGCCTGCCGCAACTTTACATTAACCCAACACTGCGGCAGTCAAAGGCTGCTGCCCGCTGTTGGCAGCGTGTTGGAGTGCTCCGCAGGAGCCATGGCAGAGGTAATGCAGATCAATGATAATGACAGAGTCGGAATGTTTCCAATAATAAGGAACAATGACAGAAAGGCTCAAGAGGTATGAAGCTATCAGTACTGGGTACGGCCACTTGCCGCAAGGAGGACTGGCCCGCGCTGCGCCATCCAAACGCATTGCGTGCATGGCTGTGCAGTCGCCTGCTCGGAAACGGACGCTCTGCAAAACAATCTCCAGTTTTTTGGGGAATGCACAAGGACAAGGGAAGGGGCGATGGAACGGAGGGGCGCGCAGTGCCGCACTGGGCCTGTGGTGCATGCAGGCCTGGATCTGTTGCTGGGAGTGGTCCACGGCAGCTGTGTGCACAGGAACGACCACAGGTCGGTGTAGGGGCATGGGTGGCCTCGAAACACATGGTGGAAACAGCAACTGCCGATGAAAGATAAAACAGCATGGATGAATGTGGTATGTGAAGGGCAGCTGCTTGCACCTGCTTGTGCAATACTGGATGTGTTTGTACGGCATAGTCTGTGTGCCACCTGAGCCAGCAAGGCGCGCCTGCTGGCCGCACCCTCTCCAGCAGACACACGGCGAGGGACACTGCTGCTGGGGAACTGGGTGGGCGGGCTCGCCTCGAGGTCAAGCACATCAAACCATGGCCTTGCAGAGGCCGATGCAAGCACGCGGCACAGTTGGCTGCGTCCGCAGACACACTGGCTCGAGACACTGCCGCTGCGCAGACAGCCTGCCGTGATTCTCATCCAGTAAATGCAGGTACTGCGGATGGGGAAGCAATCGGAGAGAACGCATTACGGTGAGTGATACAGCGATTGATTTCTCGACACGCCTACACGAAGTTCGGCCGTGAGCTTGACAGCGTCTTAGAACCCCGCTGCCGCCATCTGCTGTGTCGGCAAATCCACCGTCGGCCCCGCCCGCCACCAGCCCCAACCCCCCAGCACACCCTTAAGTCAGCCTCTCCCCCCCTACGGCCGCGCCGGGCCCGCGCCCCACTCACCACTGCACGTGACATTCACCACAGAATCTGGACTGCCCGCGTACACCAGCTTGTACGAGTATGTCACGTTGTACGCGTCGACCCAGTCCATGGGCGGGTAGTAACCCAGGTAGTAATATTGCTTGAAGTTTGCGGTGTCGTACAGCGGGTCGTCCGCGGACTGCGGCGCATCGTTCGCCCACTCCAGCCCCTCCTGCACGCCGTTGAGGTCGCACGCAAACTCAAATTGCACGCCCGGCGCGTTGGCGGTCGTCCAGACCGAGTCGACCTCCTTCCACGTCCCGTTCTTGCAGCGCATGAACACGCGAGTGTTGGCGATGTCGGGGATCGTGTCGTTGCGCAGCACATAAGACTTGCAGAAGGGGTTGGGGGTTGCCGGCAGCGCCTGGGGCACCCAGGTGCCGACGTCAGGGACGCCCTGAGGGTTGCCCGCCCCCGGGGACGGCGAGGTGGACGGGCTGGGGTTCGGCGTCGGTGACGTGGATGGCGACGGCGACGGCGTCGGTGTCGGGGAGGTGCTCGTCGAGGGCGAGGGGCTGGGGGTAGGGG